TTTTTTTTTTGAGACAGAGTCTCAATTTGTTGCCCTCGGTAGAGTGCCATGGTGTCATAGCAACCTCAAACTCCTGGGCTCAAGCGATCCTCTTGTCTCAGCCTGCCCAGCAGCTGGGACTTTAGGTGCCCTCAATGACACCTGGCCATTTTTAAAGATGGGGTTGTGCTCTCGCTCAGGCTGGTCTCGAACTCCTGAGCTCAAGCAATCCACCTACCTCGGCCTCCCAATGTCTTGTCTTCCTTAACTTTCCTCCATTGGGGTAGATATGTGTCCCTCTTTTGCACCCTGACCCCCTGTATGGAGGTGGGTCCAGCAAGGGATTTACAGGTAGAGGAGGCAGAGGCTTAAGTGCCTGACAGGGCAGGTATTGACTGAGTGAGTGGGGGTGGTGCTGGTGTTGGTGGTGGTTCTAATCAGAACCTCATCCTCCTCATCCAATACCTTTAGGTTTCAACCCTTTTGTACCATCAAATTGCCTCTTCTCCATGAAGACTCATTGTGCTGTAATCATACAAATTAAGGTGACTAGACGTCCCACTTTTGGTGGGACAGTCCCGATTTTTAACAATTTGTCCTGCATCCCACAGCATTTTTAAAAAGTCCTGATTTTTGGAAAGAATGCACCACAAGCTAGGGAACGGCAGGAGAACGGGAAGGGAATATACAGTTTTTGGCTGCCATGTGGCTGTTTCACCAGGATATGAGTTTTATATTATTTTTGTTAATTTTATAATGTTAAACTTTAATAATAACAAATAATTGTTGAGAATTGATTATGGAGAACTGCTTATCAAAGTTCATATTGTTGATCAGTTGTTAGAATTCGACCACCATTGTTTGGACTTAATGAACAATGGCATTTTTTTTTGCATTGGCAATGACGAAAACATTTTGTAACTGTCTCTCAGACAATACACGTTGTATTGCGTGCTAGTGCTAGTCAAACAAGTGATGTCAACAAATCAGCTATTCAGATAACTTAGGTAAGTAATTTATTTATTTATTTCATGAATTTAGCAGACAGTACTCGTATTATTTATATTTTATAGTGGCAGCAAAAAGTCTAGCGCCAGCCTTGAAAGTGACACTTAACCGCTCGGCGCCTATAGCTCAACC